TGAGTGTGAGTGAGTGAGTGAGTGTGTGTGTGTGAGTGAGTGAGTGAGTGAGTGTGTGTGTGTGAGTGAGTGAGTGAGTGAGTGTGTGTGTGTGAGTGAGTGAGTGAGTGAGTGTGTGTGTGTGAGTGAGTGAGTGAGTGAGTGTGTGTGTGTGTGTGAGTGAGTGAGTGAGTGTGTGTGTGTGTGTGAGTGAGTGAGTGAGTGTGAGTGTGTGTGTGTGTGTGAACACACAGCTCTTTCTCACATCTGACATCTGCATGTTCTCTGACATTGCTTTTTGTCACATGACATGCAAACAAATAAAATATTTTAGCTTTTTTAGTAAGTGTTTTACCTTGATTGTTGTTTTAAAATGATTTGTTTGAATTTTACATTCATTAAATTCATGCCCCAGTTCGAGCCCCAGTTTGGAAAACCTTGACGTTGCGTAATGTTTAATGCAATTCATGTTGTTAAGAACAATGAATAGAATATGTTTTCTTTCTCTTTTATTTTTATATTAATATGGTACAAGATTATCCTACTTAAATCAATGTAATGAACGAGTCAGGTCAAAGGTAATCTAAAAGTAATCAAAATGTGTAATGTAATGGATTATATTGCTAACTACAATTTTTGTCATGTAATTTGGAATCAGTATCGGACTAAATTTGCAAGTAATCTGCCAGCACTGCCTACACATATATACAATGGTAAGAAAAACTTAAAAACACTTAAAAACACACGAAACACGTGGCATTTATTTTAACGAAATAAAGCAGAAGCGCTCCAAGTATGAAGTCTGTTAGCTTTCAAAATATGACATAATAGAGAAAACGTCTAGGACACTTTGTGGTTTAAATAAAATATTTTAGTTTTAGTTATTTTAGTACAAGAAGTTAAATTAAAAAGAATTGAGAAATGTTGCCTTGGCAACTAGGTAAAATAATAGTTTAATTTGATTAGTTTCAATAACTCTGTTTCTAAAAAGAGCTTTTTTTTAATCAGGCAAAACACTGATGATTTTGCATATTTTCCCTGAAAAGCGCTCCTGGTTTTCTGGTTCGATTGTGTGTTTTTTTTTTTTACCATCATCATCACCTTGAGGAAGAACGGCACACATTCAAATTCTCTCCTGAAGATTCAGTCTGTCCCGTATCTGATTATTCAGCCCTGAGGGACACTGGGACATTCATGACTCTCAGCTGCATAAAAACATGAAGAACAATATGTAAATTAATAGGGAAATAATTTGAATGTCACACAAACACACGAGACGCTGGAGATAAACTGAGACGAGGAATATGATAATAATATCAGTATTCATTAAACAATTACTCAAAATGATAACCAAAAATATACTTGTGCTCTTTCAGACCTCAGCAGATTCTCTTTCACGTCTCATCGAAGTCTCGACTTTATCTCAGACGTTTCCCTGGAGAAATAAAAAATTGCATAGACATCAATTGTTTTTATTTAGAGCTAGTTATAAATATTATAACCTAATCTACACACTCACCCTAACAGACAACATTCTGCATTTTCACAAATATTATAATATTATACGTTCTATACTGTTTTTACAAATGAGGACGTCTCCAAATGGAGGTTTTGTCAGGTTTAACTCACTTCTGGATATAAATTAGTCCCCAAAATAAATATGGTTAAGGCAAGACAGTACTAGTCAATAAGGTAAAAATATTAACTAACAGACATAACCATATCTCCCCAGTTTATTAAGCTCAGTACATTAAAACTACTTAAGTGTTCTGTAATGTCATGTTTAAAAATGAAAATATTTTTTTCTAATTAAAACTTTTAAAGATATGCATTGTAATTGAAATCTACAGATGCAAATAGATGAAGTGCAATAAAATAAACACTTAAATGTGTAATTTGGATGTTTTCTTCCACCAGTATAAACACGCGCACACACACACACACACACACACACACACACACTCTCTCTATCTCTGTC